TGCTTAAGCCCTTGCGCCACCAGGGAGGCCCTCCATTAGTACATTTTAGAGGGAAATTTTCAACAAGAGTGAAAGATAGGAAACACCATTTTTCCTGGTTCCTCCTTGACCTGACTGATCTTTCTCGGTAATTTTAGTGGTGAACTCAAATTTTCTTCTTTCTCTTACTACTCACCTCTTCTGCCTTCTATTCCTGTCCTCTCCAACACCCACTCTCTGTACAGACAGATGGTACCATTACTGGTCCAGTCTCCTGAGCTGGAAGAGTAGGAATTTCCATTTTCTTACCACACCACTCCTGTTGTTACTGCTTTACTATTTGCTAAGCCAGGCAGATCTGTTTTTTAAATCCTGGCATTCATATTAACTGACTTTCAAATCCGAGGCAAGTTATTTGGCTCCTCTGAACCACCAGTCCTCACACTTGGCTACACATGGAACCATTTGGGGAGCTTAACAAATACTGATACTTGGTCCAACTGCCAGAAGCCAAGACCATAAAATGGAAAAAGGAAAGCCTCTTCAACACATGGTGCTGGGAAACCTCAATAGTCACATGAGAAAATGAGACTAGACCATTATTTAACACCATACGCAAATATTCACTCAACATCGAGTGGGACCTGATTAGCAGTTTTAAAAGCCTCCCCAGGAGACTCCAGGTGGAGCCTTAATTGAGAAACACTGCTCTAAGCCACAGCTTTCTCATTTGCAATGCAAGGCAGTGACCTCTTGGGGTCGGTGGTGAGGTGTAGTCAGTGAGAAAATGCAGGTATGTTGTGGCATGTGGTAAGCTACTGTTAGGCAACTCCTTATCATCCCTCCACAGCACTTCATGGTAGCCACTAAACACATTTCCCACCCTGAGTCTTACCAAACTCCACTTGATCTGAGAGAACTAGCTAGAAAGCAAACTGATCATGTTACTTCCTGCTTAAAACTCTTTAGCTGGTCCCCTGCTCTACTTGATGGCATGCAAACCTTTTACTGTACCTTCTGATTTTGCTCTTGCCTACTCTATTAGCTCTGTCTCTCATTACTCCCTGTCTTTCAGCAATAGCTACTTAAGAGTTTTTGCACAAAACCTCTCTGTCTGTCACCCCCCAGGCCTTTGCATGATCCTTTGTCTGGAATATTACTTGCTACCCGCTCTTGGTTTCTTTCCTCACTTCTCTTCCTCCTGCCCTTCCCCGCCCCCTGGCTTATTCTTATTCATCTTATATCCTCCAAGACTCAGCTTAGATCTCTTCCGGGTACTTCCCCTGACTTCTCTGCACAGACCTTGCCCTTACTGTAACATGTAGAATTGTAATTTGTGTCTTTCTCCCACTACACTTTTGAGGAAGGGCTTATTCTCTTGGGACAAAGTCTGAAAAATCAAAATTCTTAAATTTTATTGGATAAAGCAGGTTTAAGACACGTGAAACTGTGTCTGTGAAGACATACTTCTATTTTTTATTATTTTTAAGATTTATTTATTTATGCATATAAGAACCGGGTACAGGCCAAAAGTGCGAGGGGGGAGGGGGTTAGAGGATTCACCAGAGACAGAGTGGGGAGCAGAACAGGCAGATCTACCGAAATACAGCAGGAGAGTCAGAAGAAGTCTGCTGTGCCATGTGGGTCCGTGGCGCAAGCCATTAGCCCTAAGGGTCACTGCAGGGGGAGGTGCAGCAACCTCCCTGGCCAGGGATCGAACTCCTGCTGCAGTGGCTGCGAATTGCCTCATAGTGCTGATGCTTAACCCCTTGTACCACCAGGGAGGCCCCATACTTCTATCTATTTTAACCCAAATTTATTTTTTCCTCCCCTACATTCTTGAAGTACTTGGGAATTGTTTCATCACCTACCAGTGGAGTGAAAGCAACTTAAGAACAGAAACCTTGTCCTTATTCTTTAATAGTTCCTCAAAGCACCCCAATAAATGTCCCCTAATAACATTGCTTAAAAACACTCATTCATTCTCCTCTCTCTCTTTCTCCCTCTCTCTCTCTCTCCCCCCCTCGCTCTCACTCTCGCTCTCGCAAGCCCTTTCTCTCTCTGCATACTAATGAAAGATCTCTCACATGAAAAAAAACACAAAAAACACTCATTCGTTGCTGAAAGGAAAAAGGCTTGGAGGAACTCATTAGAAGATCATGGGTAAAAACCCTAAATGGAAAAATCTATTTTAAAAAACTATAAAGGTCTACAAAACAGCATGGTATTGGGACAAAAGCAGTCACACAGAACAGTGAAATTGAATTGAGAGCCCAAAATAACCCATTACATATATGGGCAGTTAATTTTTGACAAAGGGGCCAAGCTATACAATGGAAAAAGAAAAGCCTTTTCAACAAATGGTGCTGGGAAATCTGGGCAGCCACATGAAAAAATAAATGAATCTAGACCATTATCTAACACTGCACACAAACATTAACTCAAATTGGACTAAAGACTTTATATAAGTCCTGAAATCATAAAATATATAGAAGAAATTACAGGTAATATACTCCTGGACATCAACCACAGAGTTATCTCAATGGCAAGAGAAATAGAAACAAAAATAAATAAATGGGACTACATCAAACTAAAATACTTTAGTACAGTGAAAGAAACCACCACAGAAACAAACAGAAATAGAAAACTTACTGACTGGGAGAAGATATTTGCTCACCATCTATTTGGCCAGAGCTAAATAACCAAAATATAAAAAGAACTCATACAATATAACAAAAAACAACCCAATCAAAAAAAAAAAAATGGGCAGAAGCTTTGAATAGACACTTCTCCAAAGAAGATATGCAGACACTTATTAGGTATGCAGCTTCACTTATTAGGAAAATACACATCAAAACCACAATGAAACATCACCTCCCACCTGTGAGAATGGTCGATATCAAAGAGTCCGGTAGCAGTATGGGTTGGCAAAGGTATCCCAAAAAAGGAACTCTTGCTCACTCTTGGTGGGAAGGTTAAATTAGAGCAACTCCTATGAAAAATGATTTGGATATTCCTTCAAACACTACACACGGAAATACCATATGATCCAGCAGTACGTCTCCTATGTATTTATCTGAAGAATATGAAAGATCTAATTCCAAGATTTATGCACACCTATCCTCATAGCATTATTCACAATAGCCAAGATGTGGAATCAACCTAAACTGTCATCAATGGATGACTGGATAAAGAAGTTGTGGTATACGTACTTAATAGACATTGAAACAGATGAAATCTTGCCTTTTGTGACAACATTGGTGCACTTGGGATGATTATGCTGAGTCAGACACTGAAAGACAGTCACTGAATGGTTTCTCTTAGATGTGGATATAAATAATCAAAGCAAATGACTAATAAATCACAATAAAAACAATTGTTAGAATCTATTAAAAATATAGTGGTTACCAGGGCCTCCCTGGTGGTACAAGGGGTTAAGATGCAACCTATGAAGTTATCCACAGCCACTGTAGCATGAGTTCCATCCCCAGCCAGGGAGCTACCCACATGGCGCAGCAGACCCTTCCTGACTCACCCACTGCTCCCCTCAGCACTGTATTTTAGTCAGTTTGCCTGTTTTGCTCCCCACTATGTCTCTGGTGAATCCTCTTACCCTCCACACCTCTGGCCTGCATCCCAGCTCTTGTATGCATAAATAAATAAATCTTTAAAAAAATATATAGTGGTTACCAGAGGGGTAGCAGTGGGAGAGGTGTGAGGGTAGAGGGCATTAGCCTAATAGCAGTTCACTAGAGCTCTGATGGTGGGTTCGTGAAGATGTACCCCTGGAATTTATATAGTTTTGTGAATCAATGGTAAATCAATAAAATAAATTTAAAAAACTATCAAGATCTAGACCTGCACTAATGCAATAACTACTATACATTTGGTTACTGAGCACTTCAAATATGGCTACTGCAGCTGAGGAACTGAGGTTAAGTTTCATTTAATGTTAATTAAAGTTTAAAAAAAATAATTCAATCATTGGAAAACAATTATGAATATGTTTTCTACATATATATCAATCGTTTTTTACTGTAAACTTCATGAAATCTAATTCCAGATCAACATTTTCCAGTGAAAAGTTAGCACCTGAATTGAATGTGTTATAAGTATAAAATAAAAACTAGATTTCAAAGATGTGGGTAATAAAAAGAATACAAAACATATCGTTAAAAATTTTACATTGATTATATATTATAATGACACTATATATTACTAAAATTAATTTTATCTTATGTCACCACTAGGAAATTTAAAAAGAACATGTAACTCAAATTATATTTCTGTTGGGCAGAGCTGATATACTCCAATGCAAGGCTTTACTTTTTAATTGTTGCATTGGCAACACCACACTGATAAATCGGAGTCATGGAGCAGGCTGCACAATGCAATGCTGCCGAACAAGCAAGATCCTGGCCTTTTTATTGATAGACTAATCATATAGCATCAGTTACATGGGGTAGGAGGACAAGGAGAAAAAGATGGGTGAAACTAAAGAATGTCTTTGTCATTTAGGGCTTTGGGGGGACATGAGTCTACTGACCAGATAATTCTTATGTATTTGATGACCAAGTGTTGTAACCAAAACCATACTCCCGACCCTCAGCCATGGTTCTAATCTTATCAACAAGGCATTTCACTGATCAGCTTCTGGATCCCTTGTCATACATCAATCAATGCCACCCCTCCTCCACCCCGGGCATTCACAGTCATACCTCATGATGTGTACCTTCCCAGTGTGATCAAGCTTTCTGCTCCTGATTGATTTGAAAGGCATCTTGTAAGGTTTGGCTATGACTGATTGATGGGACAATTCTGACCTTGTATAGGAATGCAGAACTTCAGGAAACAAAGAATGGTGGCTGAACAGGCCACTCAAGTCTAGCAGACCCATATTTAATAATCATTATTTGGTGGAATGCCATCCCTCCCCGTGTCTAAATTATCAGTGACTAGTGATGAATGATTTATAGATAGTTAATGGAGTTAACTTTCTGAACTCTTTTCTGTCAATGCAGATCACAATCCACCTTCTCAGCCCAAGGAGAATAATATTGGCCAGAACCATCACCAGGAGGAAATAATCCACAGGTTAGCCATGCAGCTGAGAAGCATTGGAGATAGCATCAATCACAGGCTGGTACAAGAGGTGAGATTTCATTTTCCCTGGGAAAAACCTGTCAGGTAGAAGAAAGAGCAAACAGAATGGACTGCTGGGTGGTCGGGATGCCTAGGAATTAGCAATTTTAATAATGTCTAGATTTCTAAGCATTAGATCTAAAAATTGTGAACCTCAGTCAAAGTCAGTATTTGCTTTCATGCTTGCTACTCAAACTGTGGTCCGTGGACTAGTGTGGCATCGCTTGGCAGCTGGTCAAATGTTCAAAAGCTCAGGCTGGAATCATTTCACAAGGCTGGAATCAGAATCTGTCTTTTTACACACACCTCAGGAAATTTGTATGCACATTAAAATGTGAGAAACTTGGGCCTCCCCAGTGGCGCAGCGGTTGAGCGCTGGGTTGCGAAGCTGCCCGCGGCCTCTGCGGCGCCGGTTCGATCCCCGGCTGCTCCCCGGCCACCAGAGAAGGGTCCCACATGGCGCGCAGACCTCTCCTGCCGCCCGCTGCTCCCCTCAGCAGTGTACTTCGGTCCTTCTGCCTGCTCTGCTCCCCGCTCTGGCTCTGGTGAATTCTCTCACCCTCCCGCGCTTCTGACTGTACCCAGTGCATGTATAAACAAACAAACAAATAAACAAACAAATAAACAAATAAATAAATAAAAACATGCCTCTATAAAAAAAAAAATGTGAGAAACTTTTCTCCATGTCTTCAAACTAGGAAGCTTGTTAGAATCAGCAGTGGAGTTTTGAGAATATAGATGCCCGGGGCCCCATCTCAAAAAATTCTGATTTAACTTACATGAAGTATGGCCTGGGCATCAGTCACTTTAACAGCTTCCCAGGTAAATCTAATGCTCAATCAGAGAAGAGAACTTCTGTCTTAGATTGTGGTTATCCTCCTGGAACCAACCCAGAGGTTATGGTCTAAGCCCCATTCTTGCTGATTTATTAGTTTCTCCTGATTATTATTTAAGAGATGATAAAGAAAAACAGAAACAAACATGATCACTGAAACCTTAGGGTGATGAAATCCACAGCCACTTTAGTTTTCCTCCAGAACAACCTGTAGTTGGCAGCAGTGAATGGTGACTTGAGGGGCTCCATTGTGGGAGGGGTGGCTGCCTGTCAGGCCCCAGCTGTGATGATTTCTTGGTAGTTGCTGCTGCTGCTGCCATGCTGGCTTCAGGGAGGGCCATGTCCTCCTTTATGCTCTGGCCCAAATGTGGACAATACAAGTTTTCCTTCAAATAAAATATTCCCCAAGACAAAACATGAATGGAAAGACCCAATAGCAAAGCTACTAAAAGTCAAAGAGTGCCTCCCTGGTGGCACAGTGGGTTAAGCACAGTGCTGTGAAGCTGTTTGCAGCCTCTGCAGTGCAGGCTCGATTCTTGGCCAGGCAGGGAGATACCCACATGGCGCGGCAGACATCTCCTGCCTGGCTCGCTGCTCCCCTCAGCAGTGTTTTCGGTCCATCTGTCTGTTCTGTTCCCCACTCTGTCTCTGGTGAATTCTCTCACCCTCCCCTACCTCTGGCCTGTACCCCAGTTCTTATATAAATAAAAAATAAATCTTTAAAAAAAAAGTCAAAGAAAACAAACACAAATATTTCATAAGCCAGTTTCACTCAAATACCGAGTGCCTACTCGGTAGGCAAGCTCCAGAGCAGAGAGCAGGACAGAAGATGGGCCAGCTCACACGGAACTCATAGTAGGGGGGAGACAGACAGTAAAGCAGAGGACCAATAAGCCATCATGTCAGAAATGCAGGCTTATAGCAGGATGAGGGGACATTGAGTGCTGGAGGTTGACTTTGGATGGGTGATCAGGGAAGACCTTTCTGGGGAAGTGATATTTGAGAAAATGGAAGTGAGGGAGCTAGTCACCTGGATTGAGGGAACAGCATGTATGGGCCCTTGTGACAGGAACAGGCTTAAGGTACAACTAGGAGGCCAGAACAGCTGGAGTGAAATGAGTGGGATCTGGGAGTTGGTCTCTATCTTGGGTGTAAAGTAGGTGTTTGGGTTTCACCTGAAGCATAGGGAAGCTTTGGAGAGGGAGGGCAGGAGAATGCTATGAGCTGATTTGCATTTAGAATGGAGATTCCTGCGATGCAGAGTAGGCTGGCTATGGGGGCATGAGGGACAGCAATCCAGAGGGGACCCTCAGAGGCTGGAGGCAATGGAGGTGATGCCTCCATTGTTACATAACTGCAGTTATCCTTCAGGTGGATTAGATGGGGAGCTAGCATGTAATGAATTCATTTCAATTTCAATATTGAAATTAGAGCCCGTAGGGTTGACTGATGGACTGGATATGGGAAGTGAGAGGAAAAGAATGGCTAACTTGACCGATTTTGTCCTGAGCCTCCAAATGGATGGTAGTGCCATATACTGAGACGGGGAGGACTGGGAAGCACAGGTTTGGGGGACAATGTAGATTTCTGTGGAGATTATTTAAATTTTATGTTAGGCGTAGAGACTGTGACACAGAGATGAGCCATAGAGATTGTGAAGCGATGTAATTTTATGAACCAGGCTGGAGCTCAGGGGAGACATTGAGGCTCAGGTAAGGATTTGGATTATAAAGTATCATTTTCTCTGTGGGCTCACAGGTTTCATCACACCCTAGCTCCCCATCTCATCCACCTGAAGGACAAACTACAGTTAGGCAACAATAATTAGTACTTACTGAGGGCTGGCTATTTGCTGGGGCCAACCCAAGTATTTCACTTGTGTTTATTCATTCTTACAACTGCCAGTGAAGCTGAGACTATTGCTGTTCTCACTTTCTAAATGAGAAGGTTGATGTTTAGAGAAGTTAAGTAACTTAATGTCCTGACAGTGTCCTAGGTTGCACATCTGGTAAGTGGTAGAGTTAGGAATTGAGCCCATGTTCACTGGTTCCAAAATCCACACATCATTCCACCATACTGCTCAGTATTTGATGGCTATCTCCCAGGAACCACTGCCAGCTTTCTGCTCTCTCTGACATCTGGACCCAAGAGCATGCGGCCCAGAGAGAGGTGGGGGGGTGTGTGTGGTTTTTTTTTTTTTGCATCTGTAAGTTGTCTTTATTGGGTCCTATGCAGAGAAGACTTTACTTGAAAGCCTAACCCTCTGGTCAGAATGGAAACCATATCAGAATATGACATTAGGAGTTGAACATCCATGGAAGACATACTTACATATGGATTCGACACTCATGGTGTATGAGGTTAGAAATGTGCCAGGTACAAAGCCACTTATTTACTATGTGACCTCACATAAGTTACTAAACCTCCCTGTGTCTCATCTGGAGGAATTTATCTTGTTTACTTATTATTAACATGGAGATAATAATAGTGCCTGCCTTAGAAGGCTGTTGTGTAAATTAAACAAGATCATCTGTGTAGATCACTTAAAACAGAGCTGGACCCACGGAAAATGATGAATAAATGTTTTCTAAATAAAAAAAAAAAAAGAAGGTTTTTGCCTCTACCTTTTGAATATTCGCTGTGTATCACTTTTCATAGCATACTCATGGTATTTATCATCTGCCTTCATAGTACAGTTTTTTCTGTAGAAAAGTTTTCACTAGTGATTCTACTTTTGAATTCTAGGAAAATCCTAAGTTTGGCTTTCCTGCTTCTTGATCAGCAAACTCTTTTTTTTTTTTTTCCCTCTGCAGAGTAGATACTGGGCTAGGAAATCACAACCACTTATTTTCTACTTTTGACTTAACCTGTCAAGAGGTTATTGCTCTATGTAACTGCCTTTTCCATTTTGCCTCCTTTTTTCCCCTTTCCATTACCTTTTAAGTTGTAATTCTTAAACCTTACTTCTGCTGCCTAGTAAATCGACTCTGAACTGTGTCATTTTTCTTTCATTTAAAAAAATAACTTTACTGAGAAATAAAATTCACATAACTCTGTAGTATATAGTGCACCCATTTAAAGTGTTTAGTATATTAATAGAGTGGTACAAATATCACCGAACCTTTAGGACATTTTCATCACCCCAGAAAGAAACCCTGAAGGGAATTGTAGTGACTTTTTATTTCCTCCCACTTTTCCATCTAGCCTCACCAACTTACTTTCTGCCTCTAGATCTGCCTATTCTGAACATTTCCTATAAGGGGAATTACACCTTTTGTGTCTAGCTCCTTTTACTTAGCTTAAAGTTTTTTCAAGATTTATCCACATTGCAGCACATATCAATACTTCCTTTTTATTGCTGAATAATATTCCTCTGTGTGTGTGTGTGTGTGTGTGTGTGTGTGTGTGTGTGTGTGTATCAACCACAATCACATGTTATATTCATCAGTTGATGGACATTTGGGTTGTTTTCACTTTTTGGCTATTATGAATAATGATGCTATGAACATTTGTGTACAAGTTTTTGTGTAGACATATGTTTTCAGTTCTTTTGGGTATATGCCTAGGAGGGGAAGTGCTGGGTCACATGACAATTCTATATTTACCATCTTGAGGAACTTCCAGGCTGTTTTCCACAGTAGCTGCAGCATGTACATGTGGCTCACCTGCAGTATACCAGGTACTGGTTTCTCCACATGCTTGTCAGTATTTGTTGACGGGTCTTTTTAATTATAGCCAACTTAGTGGGTGTGAAAGTGTTTCATTGTGGTTTTAATTTACATTTCCCTGGTGGCTGATGTTGGGCATCTTTTTTGTGCTCATCCGTCATTTGTATATCTCTTTGGAGAAATGTCTGTCCAGATCTTTCACCCATTTAAAAAAACTGGGTTATTGTCTTTTTATTATTGAGTTATAGTTCTGGATATATTCTAGATTGAGTTCCTTATCATATTCAGTATTTGCAAAGCTTTTCTTCCATTCTGTAGGTTTTTTCACTTTTGTGATGTTCTTTGAGGCACAAAAGTTTTTACTTTTGCTGAAGTTCAGTTTACTTATTTTTTCTTTTGTTTTTTACATTTTTGGTGTCATATTTGATCCAACATAAAAATTTATAACTGTTTTATTAAAAGATATGCATAGTTTTAGCTTTTAAATTTAGGTCTTTGAGCCATTTGGAATTAATTTTTATATATGGTATGAATTAGAAGTCCATTTTTATTTTTTTGTTTGTGGTATGCCGTTGTTTCAGCACCATTTGTTGGAAAGACTATTCTTTCACCATTGAATTATCTTGGCACCTTTGTTGAAAATCAATTGACTATATATATTTGGGGACTTATTTCTGGACTCTCAGGACATTTCCATGATCTATATGTCTATCCTTATGCCACATTTTACAAAGCTGGCTTTGACCTAGACTTTGAACGATACCTTATTCTATACCACAAAATTGCATTGTAGAACACTTTTAAATAGAACATAGCACATTTAAAAAGTGTGCTTATCTAATCACCTTCATCTAATCACTTTTTGTACTCTCTGTAACCAAGTGGTCACATTGATTCTCCAGATATCTTCCTGCCTTACTTAAAGAACTTTGATTCTTGCTCTTGGAACACCCTCGTAAGGAGCTCACCAATTTATATTTTTGTGCACTGAATTGATTGTCCTTGAGTTGCACATATCTTGCTTTATTATTGTCTATTTTTCTATTTAGTTATATGGGGTTTTGTTTCAAGGACCTGGTCTCTTTCTCAAATTTTATTTTAATCCAGGCATATAATTTCCTAAATATAAGGTATGTTTTAAAATAGTCTTTTACAAAAACAAGAAAAAAAAGATAAAATACTCTTCATATCACTTTCAGGGTCTTCACTGTGTCTTTGAAATTTTCTCCATAGGAATCTCTCCTTCTAGATACTAGAAACTGTTCTCTCCCTGTCCCTACAGACTGAGGAGTGACAGCTCCACTGTTAGCAGCCCTGGGTATTGTACCACCCCTGGAGTCCCTTCTCCATTTTGTAGATAGTTTTTTAAAATTTAATTTTCCTTGAATTATCCTAATTTGAGTGGCCGTCTTTTTTCCCCTGGGATCCTCACTGATATAGTAATGCACAGGGAATTTGTGAGTTCTGAGAAGAGGGAGGGAAGCTAACGTTATTAATCTTCCAGGTACTCTTTGAGACACTGTTAGATGTTCCATTTAATTCTCCCAATAACCCTGTGACTTGTTTTCATAGGTGTTTCAGAAGAAGCAGTTGCGGTTCAGAGGGATTAGGTAACTATTTAAGGTCACACAGCAAATAAGTGGCAAAACTGGAATTTAAATCTGTGAGCCTCTGACTCTCCGTGCTCTGTGTATTTTCTCACCTGTCTTGCTGGAAGGAGATTCATTCAATTTTCCTAAATGATATTAACTATAAAAGGGGGGAAATCCTTGAATGACTCCTACTTACTGATCAAGTCTAAATTCTTTTGCCTGCTGTTAATGCTTTGTCATGCATTCACTGCACTAATATTCATTGAGCACATTGTATCTGGTGGCTCCAGATAGAAGGCTCCACTTGGGTAGCCATTATCAAACAGACAAAACTCTCTGATCTCTTGGAGTTTATATTCTAGAAGGGAGAGAGACAGATACGAAAAGAACAAGTAAAAGTATATAGCTAATCAGATAACGATAACTATTTTGGAGAAACATAAAGCTAAGAAAGGGGCAAGATGTGTTGGGGAACTTGTCATTTTAAGTAGAGGGGTTCGGGATGGCCTCACTGAGCCGGTGACCCACAGGGCTGTGGCGGGGAGCTGTGATCCGAGGGACAACACTGGAGAGAGACTCTGAGGTACGGGCATGTCTGCATGTCTGAAAAATGCTAAGAAGCCTGAAACTGAGTGAGGGAGAAAACAGTAAAAGATTTGGGCCTCCCCTAGTGGCTCAGTGGTTGAGCGTTGGGCTGCAAAGCTTCCCGCAGCCTCTGCAGTGCTGGTTCGATCCCCGGCCACAGGCGAGGGTCCCACATGGCACGCAGGCCTTTCCTGCCGCCCGCTGCTCCCCTCAGCAGTGTACTTCTTCAGTCTGCCTGTTCTCTTCCCTGCTCTGGCTCTGGTGAATTCTCTCACTCTCCCGTGCTTCTGACTGTACCCAGTGCTTGTATAAATAAATAAATAAATCTTTAAAAAACAAAAAACAAAAAACAGTAAAAGATTTGATCAGAGAGGTGGGCCAGGGACAGGTTAGGTAGATCCCTGAGATCTCTATTCTCCTGAGTCGAGCCCAAGGCCGCGTGCTGAGCAGAGGAGGGACTTTTTAATCAGGCCACTGAGGCAGCTGTCTTGGAAATAGCTTGCAGGAGGAGGGGCAGGGACTGGGAGAGCCACTTGTATCTGACTGCTGCCTCCTCCCCATGCTCCCCTTGTCAGCAGTGGTGTTAACTTACTGCTGCACGAATCCGCTGTCATGCTCATATCCTCTCTCTTCTTCCCCACCCAAGTCTGTCCTACTGCCAACACTAAAGTCAACTTCCTTGCTTTTGAAAAGACCAAGAAAGTGCTCTGGGAAGCCAGAGGAGGAGGGTATCATTGAGGTGTGCCCTTGAGGAACACCCTCATTGCTGATGGGTAAGATGGGAAAAGGCCTGGTGGAGAAGTTCACAAGGCAGTGTGCAGGAGATGGACATATGGAACAGACCAAGATGATCTCCTTCAGCTCTCACAATTCATAAAGCAGCCCTCGAAGCTGTTTCTGGCCTTGGTTGAATTAATATTAATAGTGAATTTCTGACTTTGGGTTACTCTATTGCTTAAAAAATTTTCTCTCTCTCCTCTCAAACAGGATCTCCAACAGGAAGCCAGAGATGCACTGGCTCATTTTGTCTTACTTTTCTTTGGAGGAATTGATGCATTGCTGCACTTTCTCTGGAATAACCATTTGATGTAAATGGAAGGCAAACATGGAATTGTTTTCCCTCTGAGAAACATGAATCCCATGGGAATAGATGGGAAGAAGGCCCTTCCCCACACCCCTCTTCTTACCCATCACTGATGGCTTGCGGCTGGTGTGTTGGAGTGCTATGGCCTCATTGGCTCTGGGGTGCCCAAGGGGTTTTGGGAACCCGGGAGGCCTTGCCAGGTAGAGAACACCAGCACCGTGGCTGGCCCAGTGCTTCTTGTAAGGAAACTTTGAGCATTTACTTCCATGAGTGAAAAGGAACCTTGTCCTCAAACCAGAGGTCAAGAAATGGGTGCTTTTTCCTGGACCTCTCCTGGTTGTTAGACCCTCCCAACTGTTGGCCCCCCTCTTGTTCTGTGTCCCGATATTCAGGGCCCTGTTCTCCTTTTACCTTTCTCTCTACCTCATATGCCCTCTCCCCACATTTATAAGTATTACAAATATTGAGAAAGTTTGTTGTTATAAATTAAATTATAAGTTGTATATATGCATTTTGAGTTCTTTGTAGGAAAATGTCACTTAAAAACTAATAATTTAAAAAATGAAATAAATATTGTTATTTTATTGAGCATGAAACACCTGTGCATATTTCTTTTGTGAAGGGGGGATTCCACTTATTCCTGCTTATATTGGTTCATTATTTTGCAGACTTCAATTGTATGCTGCTACATGTCTTTGTCCTTCCAAAGAGAAGTGTCCCCATTTTTTAGTTTATCTCAGACATACCTGTTTATTTCCACCCTTACATAGGTTTTGACTTGCTGGCTGGAACAGTTCCAAAACTTCCTTATTTATTTTTTTATTCCTCTTTTGAATGGGTTTTTTTTATGTGGTTCAAAAATAAAAAACAAGATGTAAAATGGTTTACAATGAGAACCCTTGCTCTTAATCTCTATTCTGAATCTCTTATATATTTTTCCAGAGTTTCTTTGCACAAATTACCCCCCACCCTCTCCTTCACACACACAAAAGCTTGCATGTAATACAAAGTGTACCTTGAGGTTTTTGCTTAGATAATTGTAATTGTCAGGCAGTGTTCTAGGTGTCTTAACAAATGTTCACTCATTTACTATTCATATTGACTTTATGAGACAGGTATTATTACTAGCTCCATTTTACTCTTTGGGATACTGAGATAGTAGTTAATAGAGGCTGTAGAGAGGTTGCCCATGGGCACGCAGACAGTGCAACAGAGCTGGGATCCCAAGCCAGGCAGACTGTCCTCAGCGTGCAGGACATAGCTGCTATGCTGTATCCCTCCCAGGCAGCCTGCTGGACCCACAGGGAGTGCCATCAGATGCCGCACTTCCTCTGTTATGTGGATGTACCATAATTTCTTTTATCAGCTCCCTTTTAAAGGATGCCTGGGTTGTTTAAAATCATTTGATGTTATAAGTCACGCTGAAACAAATAACCACGTACATTTTTGATATGTGCAGGAATATTTGTTGAATAACTTTCCGGCAGTAGGATTGCTGGCAAGTGAAGGGTGAACGCATTTGTCATTTGCCAGATGCTCGCCTTCTGCCCTCCAGTGCTGGCACCCCTGCACCCTCCTGTGGACTGCCTGTTGCTCTCAGCCTCACCAGCAGATTGTATTTTTAAATTTTTAAATGTTGGCCAAATGAATGGGTAAAAAAATAAATGGTATCTCAGAAAAAGTTTTTATTCAAAATATCTTTTAATTCGATGTGTATCACATTGACGGACTTTAAAAATTGCATATGTTTTAAAATGAGTGCGTTGAGCATCTTTGTCTATGTGTGTGGGGGGGGGCATTCAGCTTTTTGTTTATGGAACGGTCTATTCTTATCCTTCGCTTTTTTCCTACTGGCTTTCTGGTTTGTTCTTATCGATTTCTAGGAGCATATGCTACATCGTGCTAAGCACTGCTTATAACAGCACCTGCGCACTAAGATGTTCTGCAGAAGGTTATTAAGGCAGCCTACAATCTCCCTGGGCTCCCCCTCCAGGCGGGGAAGCTGAGGCAGGTACACCCAGGAGGGCAAGTGGCGCCACACCTGGAGCAGCCATTGGCCTGGGAAAGGACCCGTAGTGTTCTCCTAGGTCAGGAAGTACACCCCTGCCGCTCTGATGGGGGCGCTAGGGTCAGGGACCGCGGGGCCTCCACCAGGGCAAGAGGCAGGTCAGCGGAGCCAGGGAGGCCACTCACTCCTAAGGGAAGGGCCTGGTGCAGAAGTCAGCGTGGGCAGCCCCCTCCCCTCCATCTGTGGAACTCACAGGGCGGCGTGTAGTCGGGCTGTCTCTGTGGGCAGCCGGCACCAGGGCTTCCCCCGGCTCCCCAGATCCCGCAGAATCCCACCTGCACCCACTTGGGCTCAGGGCCGGGCCGCCCGGGGGGCCAGGTGCGCGCTGGAGGATGCGCGCTGGAGGATGCGCGCGGGGCTGCAGGCCTCCCGGGGGGCTAGCGGGCAGCGTCCCGCGTCTCCGCTCCCCGGGGGCCCGGCCCCGGCCCTCCCGAGAGCCCGCCGCGGCGGGAGTGGAAGCCGGATCCCGCTCTTTCGTTTTCGTTTCCCGGAAGGATAGCGATTACCCGAGCGCGCCGCGCCTGCTCGCCAGGGACCGAGCGCACGCTACCAGAGCTTCTCAAAGCCATTTCCTCCCACGGGACCTTCCCCTTTACCCGGCCATTAAGGGTTTGGGGAAGAAGGGCGAGCTCGAGCGCGGGCCTAAGGCCCGGCAGCCGCAGCCCGTGAGGCACTCCCGGCAGCCAGCCAGGTGGCTCCTTCACCTCCACCTGTAATGCAGGTAAGAGCCTGCCCACTGCCCCTCGCGGGGAGCATGCGGAGCCATCTGCCCCCCATTCCTTCTCCACCACCTCAATTTTCATACCCATTTTATCGTACCCTTTTCCTCTCTGGAGTCTCACTTTCTAATGCATTCCCAAACCTCATCATCTATCCGGCACTGCCCTTCCACTCCGGCTCCTCACTTTCTCTTCCCCACCCCCCACCCCCAAGCCCTCCTGGGATATACTGCTCCCTCTTACCTCCTCATCACCCTTCATCAATCTGATCTGAGATCCCTGGAGAGCCTGCATGAGTCAGGTCCTAGCACCTGGCAGCTCAACCTTGCAAGCCACCCTTTTAGCATATTTCCCTAGGAGCCTCAGACCCACTCCCTTCTCACCTCCAAGGCCTTTCTTCATCCCCCTCTGTCCAAGACCCATATCCATGTTTTCAGAGCCCTCCACGCTCTTCATGGTGAACCCAGCGTGCTAACTCTCAGCAGCTCCTGGGCGGACATTTCGCAGGCGGTCACATCCCTGGAATTCCCCATTCCTCATGTTTGGAAGATGGTGGAGAAGTCAAGGAGCTTCCTCCAAGTCCTAGATAAGTCCTAGGCCTTGAGTCCCTTTCTCTGGCCTGACAAGTCCCCACTGCCAGATGGCAGCTTTTGAGGTTGGAGTACTTGGGAAGTAACACTAACTGGGGACAGGGGAGCTGGGGGCTGGCTAGAAATGAAGAGGGGACTATCCCAGAAGGCCTTGAATCCTCTTTTGAGCAGCCAAACCTTCTGGAATTTGCTTTGTTGGGTCCAGAGCCACAGTCTTTCACTGCAGATTGCCTCCTCAGACACCAAGAGATGAATGTAGCACTCTTGAGGATCCTAGAATAAGAAAATGACGTCCTGGGATTGGTTTCACTTTTACTTTTTACAATGTGGCAGCCCGCAACTGGTCATGAACCCCAGCATCCTCTTGTTCTACAAAAACCTTGTCACTTTTTATCATCTTCTCCTCCTGGTGGATGAGCCAAATCCTTCCCAAAGAGCAACTGATCATAAAATTGTAAAGAGATCAGCCTCCCTTGGTGGGACCTTGAGGTTCAGAAATTTTTTCTTTCTTGTTCTCTTTTGAAAAAAGTATTTACTGTTCACTTCTTAATTTCTAATTTAAATCCTTTTATCCTGACTCCTCAGGTGCCCTTTGTCCTCTCACTCAGCTTCCAGTGAGTATGCCTAGGCCCCCACCTTACAAATTAAGTCTTGCGGCAGACCCTTTTCATGGGGTTAGGCTCATTCTTGAAAAACTTGAATGAGAGAGATGAAGTTTTTATCTTTACTATTATTTTTTTTAAGGTAAGATCAGTTTATGACACTGTATAAGCTTCAGGTGTAGCTTTAATTGTCCCTTCTACCTGTCCCCTCCTTCTCCTCTTGTTGTCAGTCCAAGGCTTTGTTTTTGTTTGTTTATATTCCACAAATGAGTGAAATCGCGTGGCATTTGTCTTTCTCCTCTGACTTATTTCATCTAGCATAACCCCTTAGCAAGATTTCATCATTTTTTTAAAAAGCTGTGTAGTATTCCATTGTGTCCATATACCACATCTTCTTTATCCATTCATCTGTTGTCAGGCATTTGGGTTGTTTCCATATCTTGGATGTTGCAAAATGTGCTTTAATGAACATAGGGGTGCATATATCCTGAATGAGGAAATTGATCTAGTGTCCACTGTGTACAAGACACTGGCCATACCAAGTTGAAGACATAGTGGTCCTATAAGGTAGGTACAGTCTATCGCCAGAGATGAATGCACTTTCCCTTAGGAAAAAATTCTTAAGACATTTAAAGATGACTGAGCCTTCAGCAGGACGTTAGTCTCTCACTGCCCTTGTGTTTCCTCTCTAGGAGGGAGCGGTGACTGGTTCTCCTATGAGCCCAGCCGCAGCTCTGCCACCCTGCAGCTCCCGGGCCCAAGCCAGATGTGAACCTCAAGTGAACCTGCTGGGTGAGGGGGAGATCTGCAAGCTGCCAGGAAGACTCCGTGAGTAGAGGGGAGATTTTTTTTAATTTGTGTATTTTTACATTGTTCTTCATTTTTGTACAGTTTGATTTCTTCTCTTAGGTGTTGTCCCCACAAAATTACTACCACTAACATACCTGTGAACCATCAGCATAGACTCTTATTCTCTTCCCTCCCAATTTGATCCCTATCCCTTGCCCTTCCCTGATGAATGTCTCCAGTTTGTAGTCTGCCTGCTAGTTTTGTCTTTTTTTGCCCCCTGATCCCTTGTATGACTTCCCTATGTCTCTCCTGTAAGTGAAACCATCCGATATTTTTCTTTTTCCTTCTGACTTATTTTAATGAGCAAAATCCCTTCCAGCTGCATCTATGCTACTGCAAATGGCATGAGTTTATCTTTTTTGATAGCTGAATAGTATTCCATTGTGTATATGTACCACATCTTCTTGATCCAGTCATCTATTTTTGGACATTTAGGTTGTTTCCATATCTTACCTTTTGTAAATAGAGCTGCCATAAGCATAGGAATGTAGGTTTCCTTTCGAATTAATGTTTTTGTGTCCTTTGGGAGGATTCCTAGGAGTGGAATTGCTGGGTCATATGGTAAATCCATTTTTAGTAGTTTGATGGTCCTCCACACAGCTTTCCGGAATGGTTGGACCAGTTTGCATTTCCACCAGCAATGTAAAAATGTTCCTTTTTCTCCAATTTCTTGTAAGCATTTGTTGTTGTTAGTATTTTCTAATGTGGGCCATTTTTGCTGGTGTGAGGTAATATGTCATTGCGGTTTAGATTTGCATTTGAGGGGAGTTTTTTTCTAAAAGGACAAAAAGGTGATATAGAACTCTTCCTCTTGCTATTTCTTGGCTGGGTTTTCTTTAACTTTTCCTTGGTGAGGTAGTCAGAGGAGGGAAATGTGAATTCTCCTTGCAGAGAATACAGCTGTTGCAGCCAAGTGTGAGGGGGACAAGTAACCACATTGATGAGATAAGAGGTGGAATCAGGTGAGCTGTTGGGTCCCTTACAATCTAAAGACAATGAATTGGGGACCTTGACAAAGAGGAAAGCAGATGGGGTTAAGCAGTGAACAATTTTATATATGTCAAATCCTCTTTTAAATAATTATATTTAATTTTTATTGTTACAAAAGCAGCGTGTGCTTATTGTCAAAAAATTGGGAAATCATAGAGAAGCATAAGAAAAATATATAGAACAATCAAATCCAAAGATAACCATGAGAAATATATTGGTCAAATTCAATCATTTAATTTTCCCAAGTAATCTCTTGCCCGAAATCTCCTAACCACAGATCAAGCTGTAGATGAATGTATTTAGGCCAATGTTTCAAAAGCAAAACTGGGTGGTAGAAAAGCTAGGTAGCAAGCTCAGGATCACACAGGCTCTCCCTCTTAAGGCAAAACCTTGGTCTTGCTGCTAATCCTCTAAGAGATTTTTAAATGCATCTCCTAAGTCCTGGAAACCAAGGCTAAGCAGCCTTGACTGCTGCGGGATCTTTGGTCTGGGTGGTGGTTTTGGGGCAGCAGTGGGGAGGCACCTCGGAGCTGGGGTATAAGGCATCCAGGTCACTTCCTCCCTGGCTAGTCCGGTGGCTGGAATGCTGCTTTCTGGATTTCACACCCTTCTGATTTCCTGGCCACAACCTGTTTTTTGAGCTGCTAAAAGAACTGAATAGAATGTGGGGTGTGATTTTACAGGCCTTTGGAGCCTGTTGTTTCCAAATGTCTCTGCTGTCCACTGCCTGGCATTCTTTAAGGGATACAGCGCCCCTCTTTCTATGGGGAAGGAGAGGCACTGAGACGTGGTTTTGGGACAGGTTTTGTCTCTCACAGGCAGGAGAACTCTGGCGTGTGGAGGGGGCCTGGTGCCTCAGGGCAGCAGTGGAGGGCAGCAACAGCATGATTTGGGGAGAGGGGCAGAAAACTCTGTCAGGAAACTCTGTTGTCTTCATTTTGTCCAAATGCCAACTCTGACCATTAGTTTGGATCCAAGGAGATACTTGGCAATAGTTCTATCGAGGGTAGGACTGGGTCTCCATTCCCTGCCCAAGTTAGGGTGAAGAAGAGAAACAGGACTTGGGGACAGACTTGGAGACCGTGGGTGTTGCTGCTAAGGATCTGGGGGTAATCTAAGCTGGTTTCCTCATGACAGCTGAGGACACTGAGTTTCAGAGAAGAAAGGGCTACACTGCAGGTTCCATAGGCCTGGAATGTCCCTCATTTCCTCCCCTACATTCAGAGACCACACAATCATCTCCTCGAATCCTAGAATGTGGATGCTGGTAGGGACCCTAGGTATCCCCTCAGGTAACTTCCTCATATTCCAAATAAGGAACCTGAGGTTCAGGGAGCTGTGTTCTGCCCAAGATCATATAATGTTCAGCCTTCTCCCTGCTACTGAGTGTCCAGTTTGAGGTCACTAGGTGAGAGGGTGCGGGAGGAGAACAGGGATTTAGAGAGATTACTCATCACCTGGGTAAATACAATTATGCAAGTCTTTTAATTTTTGGAGGCCCTTTGGTGGGGCTCCTGAGGTGGTTCCCAAGTCTTCCTGCTCACTTCTAGTGACAGGAATTTCCTCTGCTCTTGAGTCAGCCTGTTTCCTGGTTACTCAGCTTAGGGTGCAGGATCATTGTGACCTAGTTAGAGTTCCTGAGGTACTAGTCCTATTAGGTTTCCCCAGAAGCAGACCCCGAAATACCTCCCTACTGTTGAGTAGGGGGGAGAGAGAGGAGAGAAGGAAATCCAAAAGATTGTTCCATCAGGCCGGCTAGTGCTCTGGGCAACTGAAGAGCCTTGGGATATGGGGGGTGGGTGGGAGGAGGGAGAGTGAGAGCACACTCTGAGTAACCCCAAACCAGGAGAAGGAAGTTGGGTCTTTATCCACGTGGGGAGAGGGCTGCCTCCAAGTTGCCCTGTACACTGGCCGAGTCAGGCACTGGCCTTGGGAGGCCTTCAGAGTGCAGAGGTGAGAGCCGAGGGCCACAGGCAGGCAGCACAGTATCTTCTACACGTCCATATGTTTCATCTCAGATCCCCATGTCTCGCATATAAAGAAACTTCTGAAAATATTCAGATAACACAGTTCTGGCCTGCAGTAAATATCTGAGTGTTGAAAGATAAGGCATGCTCTGTGATTCATTTTCCTGTCAACAGTGTCCCAAATAAGCAAAACTTCTGACACCAGTGAGGGCCTTACCTTCCAGATGGCTGGGGTGAGGTCATCCCCATTGCTGACATTTTTGGAAATTGGGTTTCTCTTGCTTGGCTTCTCTCTGACATTTATTCCCAGTCATGCCCCCTCCACCTTCAGCTTCAGTCTAATCCTCAGGGCTGGCTTGCCTCAGCAGACTGGTGGACAAACAACACAAACCTTGCCTAGCTTTGTGATTTGGCACTGAGTGGAGCACAGGAGCCATTTCCCTGTACAGCTCACCTTTCTGTGTTTATTTGTCTGACAAAGACATGTAGCAGAGCAGGGGAAAGTCCGCCCTTCGGGTGCCTGCCATGTCCAGCAACTGGGGCGGTAGTGGGGGCACCTGGCTCTCATCCATGAGAGGATCTTCCCACTATGCTTCCCTCTGTGGAAGTAGATGAAGTAGATGAAAGAGGACTCATAGTCCTCTTTCCCCACCCCTCAACTCCACGAGGATCTGCCGAGGTTGGGGGACGGGAGTGCCAGGAGCTTTCAGGGCAGTGCAGGCCCTGGGACCACAGGGGAGTGAGTGTGGGCAGAGGTGATGTCACCTCAAGGAACGACTCAGGATTCTGAGAGATGGCAGTTTAGAGGGAGCCACCTTCATGGTCTCATTCAATGGCAGAGAAACAAGTCCAGTGAGGCAAGAGTCATCTACAAAGCTGCTGACCAGATGGGCCTCAAGCCCAGGTCCTAGTGCTTGGTCCTGAGGCGCTTCATCTTCCAGGAGCTTATTCCCTAGAAATGTGTGCACAACATATCTTCTTCTCTAGAAAGAGACTCTGTGAACTTGCCTCTGTTGGGTGCAGGGGAATTGAGATAATGTTGCGTTTCAAAATTGCTTTTCAAAGCTCCTAAGTTGCAACTAAGCCACAGGGGAAGACATACAGAGCCACCTCTAGTTTTCAGGTATCTTGGGCTGATGGATGATACCTGTCTGCAACCTCTTGGCTGTGTAAGATAAGGGGGCACTCCAGCAGAATTTTTTGGGCTCCTGCTCAAGTTCATATCCTTCACTTACAGGAAAATCTCCAGGGGACTTATTTGAATAGATCCATTTCTTTTCTTTTCTTTTTAAAAAAGCTTTATTTATTTTTATACAAGAACCGGGGTATAGGCCAGATGTGCGGGAGGGTGAGAGGATTCACCGGAGACAGAGTGGGGAACAGAGCAGGCAGACTGAGGAAATACACTGCTGAGGGGAGCAGCGGGTGAGACAGGAGAGGTCTGCTTCGCCATGTGGGATTCTCGCCGCCAGCCGGGATTGAACCTGCACTGCAGAGGCTGTGGACAGCTTCACAGTGCTGTGCTCAACTGCCTGCACCACCAGGGAGGCCCATTGAATAGATCCATTTCAAACAAAGGTGGCCTCTTGGCATCCTAGGAGCTAACAAGCGCTTCTTAAATTTTTACTTGCACACCAATCACTCGGGAACCTTGCAGAAAGGCAGACTCTCATTCCTAGCCTGGAGTAGAGCCTTCAATTTTGCATGGCTCATGAACTCCTGGGGGCTGCTGCTGCTGGTGGGAATGCATTTGAGGACCTGATTTTATGCAGCGAAATTCCAACACTGATTTTCAAAGTGACCGGTCAGGATTCATGAAGGGGGTGAAATCCAGTTAGTGGGTCAAGATAAGTATTTAAAAAAAATCCCTAGAATCTACCAGAGTCCATCATAAATAGTAAAAGTAGCTGTGATTTCATGAATAGCTTTGTTCTGGCTATTTCTGTATTCATGTGAGTGTGGGTGGTGATATAAAAATGCAGGTTTTCATTGACTGGTGGTGAGGATGGCTTTGAGAAGCGC